AGATAATGAGAGCATTAGCCTCAGACACTCTGGGCCAGTGTCCCAGGCACAAGAACTTTTAAATGTCTTCTTGTGATCATCTGCAGAAGCATGGTGGAGAATCCTTTGTCTAATTGACCTTAGATCAAGGTGTAGTTCTGCAGCAGGCATTAAGATGAGGTGGTGGCTCACAGGGTCCATGGCAGCTTTTATTTTTTATTTTATTTTTTAGGTTTTTCTCCGGTACCGGGAACCGAACTCACGACCTTGCACTTGCCAGGCAGGCGCTTTTGCCGCTGAGCTAAATCCCCAGCCCCTACGGCAGCTTTTAGTGGCGTCTCCCAGGCATTCAATTCTGGAAGGATGGATTGTCTCCAGCTGGCTGTTCCACTGAGGCTCCAAATCAGGCGCCTCCAACAGCTCTGCTGGGATTTTCCGGTGTATGCCTTTCCTTACAGAGGGTTGATCCTTCCTGATTATATGAGCTTTGGGGTTTTGTAAACTTCCCAGTTTCGGTTGTGAGCAAAAGGGACTGGCTGGTGGGAGTTTCTGAGTCACATTCCAGGCCAGAGCTCTGGAGTTTCTACCTCTGAGTAACAAGGATCCTGGACCCCAAGGGTTTGAGCCTGAGACCTCAAGCCCGGCCACACCAGTCCACGCCCGGCACAGAACTCCCAGGGAGCAGCTCCTGGCTTCTTCCAGAAATCGGAAAAGAGAGCAAAGGGCCAGTTGAAATGCCTGAAAAAGAACAGAAAGTCTTGGTTAGGAGACTAAGGTTCCCGGGGCAACAGAAGAAACTGATAGCATGAAAGCAGGGTCCCTGATCCCTCCAATTTGTTCACTGAATGTGTGTGCTGTGTAAGCCACAGAAGTAAGGCTTTGTTTGCAGTGACTCCTATTCCACCTCCTTCCTTCTACGACCCGGGCTCCTTTCTGCCTTAATGCTTGGTGTTCTCGTTTGCAAGGCCCCTGTGCGGGCGCTTTCCAGGCTCAGAGAGCTCAGAGGGGTAAAGCACACCCTCCACAACCACAGACTCCAGATGAGACCTCCGTGGCCCCACCCCTGTGCAGCCTGGAGTAAATGCTCAGCATCCCCCACTGAAGGTGGTGATGCTACCCGCTCCTGCGAGGAGTGGGGAAGTCGAGGCCTGTGGGGCATTTAGCCCATGTCGGTCATACACAGAGCTGTGGCCATTGGACTCACCTCAGACTTCACGGTTGACACCAGGCAGGTCTAAGTCCCTTGCGCCTGGAATGCCCGCAGTCACCATAACGGTGCGGCGCTGTGTCCAGGCCAAAGGCAGCTCTCACTCACCTGCAGGCAAAGCTTCACAATGGTCATCCCCTTACACCGAGCCAGGGCTGTCTCTCGGTGTCAGCAAACAGAATGGTATTTGGGGGCTCGTGTGTGTTCTCTTGGTTTGATTGTTCTTGTTTTGGGGCAAGCCTCTCTGCAAATGCTCCCCACGCCAATGAGGCCTTGACATCATCAGTGTCTGTGGGTCCAGCGGGAGATGGGTCCTTGAAGGCCTCGAGGGAGCTTCCACTTGGCCCACCTTTCTCACAGAACTCACGTTCCTCTGCATTTACCATCACTCCTGATGGGCCATTTTGAAACGGGGACAGACTGCGGTGCTGGGGTTGCAGTCTTCTTTGTCGGGCTGTCTTGAACTCCCAGCATGCTCTGAGCTACAGAGTCAATACCACACCGCACCAGGAGCTTGCAGGTGCGTCCTACTTGAGCTAGCGAGGAATTACCGGATGGGACCTGCGTTCACGTGTCGCTAACAGCCGGTGGCCACTGGTGTCAAGTTTACCCTTCAGCCTGAATCCTCTGGGGATGCATTCATTTCCTGAGATTTTGACAGTGTGGACAAGGTTGGTCACAGCCATCCTTGGCTCTTCCCGAGAGAGGAAGAAGTCTGGCCTCTTTCCTGTTCCTAGAAGGAGCCGTGTTACTGAGGCCAGAGTGCCTACTGCTGGCTTCTGCCATGACAGGACACCCGGCCACCGGCAGGGGCAGGACTTCCGGGGGCTCAGACCACAGGGATGGAAAGGACCGACACAAGCAGCACTTAAAGGTCTCCAGACGTTAGTTCCCAATGTTCAGATCTTCTGGGGTGGGGCAGGTTTAAACAAATGCTGAAGCCCGGCCCGCCCAGGTCAGTTAAATTAGAATGTCTATGGATGACCTGGGCATCAATGATTATCTTTTAAAAGTAAATCTAATGTGCAGTCTCATTAAAACAACAACAACAACTCCACCTTAGAGGATTTAAAAAATCTTATTCAGACCAAAAACTATAGTGGGAGACAGAGGCTGTAGTTATTATTAACGCAAAATATCACAGGACTCCCAGGTTTGATCACAAAATACAAAACTTGTTTCCGAGCTATGTGACAGTGCCAACCTCCATAATTGTGCTGTGCTTGCTCGGTGGAAAGCGCAGGATTAAGGGCCAGCTATTGCCTTGGGACCCAGGTTGTCACATTGCCAGGGAAGAAGGTGTAACAATGAACCTCCCTAGCAGAACTGCTCACAGCCGTGGCTGGACACACTGACATTTGAAATAAGAAGTTTTAATGCTACAGAAAATTTTGTAAGTTGATCTCTTTACCTTAGAGCTTAAATTTGGAATTAACTGTTGCATCACACATAGAACTTGGCAAAAAAATAACACATTGACACGTTTGATCCCTTAAAGGGATTGTAACACTTGATTTTGAGCACTCCTGGTCACTTTGTCACTTTCGCCGCTTCCCTTAGGGCCAGCATGTGCGTGGCGTGCTATAGACACGTGAGATCTCTGAGGGCAAAGGCTTTGACCTGCTTGTCCTCTAGTCTTTGAGTCCAGTCTGCTGAGTGGATTTCAAACCATGTTCAAAGGCAGGCTCCCCACACTTGGACAACTACAAGGGGACCTGAATCAGAATGGTTCAAGATGAGGCTGTAGACAGTATAGACAATGCATTCCTTTCTCACTGATGCTATAACAAATTGCCAAAAATGCAGTGGCTCAGGATAGCACACCGGGATCACTTTCTACAGTTCTGGAGGTCCCGGGCCACACACGGTCTTGGTGGCCTGCCATCAGGCATCTGTGGGCGAGTGCTTGGCTGGGCCTGGCTCTTGGTGCCCATGGCACTGCCCCCTGACACAGAGTAGCAGACTTCGTCACAGTGCAGCAGGCTCTGGATAGGGTCTGAACAACCTTAGGAGAGAAACCAAGGAACAGAACGTGGATGGCTTTTCAAGAGGAAGAGTGTTTATTACGCCAAACCTACCGATGCTGAGGGGGAACGTCATGCCCTGTGGCAGTGAGTTAGCCGGGCCTGGGCCCTGAAAGGGGAGACCCGGAGAACTGTGTGCAGGGAGCAGACCGCAGCTCACCAGGTGGCAGAACACACGGGACCCCAGCCCGCCTCCACCCATAGCCCCTCCTAACCTGGCAGAAGCCGCTGTCCCCACCGAGGGACCTCCTTGCAAATACAAGCCTCCTTCAGATTTCAGTGGGTTTATCTTGTATGTTGAGATTCTGAAGGTGGATCTCCTGGGTGGTAGTGATAAAATAGAAAACAATGCTATTTTGAGCCTGCTGACACCTTAAGGTACTTTTCTAGCTGTCGCAATTCTCATTCTTCACCAGCACAACCCTGCAGTCTGCTGAGGAATTATCCCTGTCTCACCAGTAACCACAGAAATGCATGAGAATCCATCAGGAACCAGGGGCTCAGCCCCACAAGAATGAGGCGGAGGCCCGCCGGGGAATCACGCCCTGCCCTGGGGCCAGGCCGGCAGCGCTCATTCTCTGCGTGTGCTGAGGACACTCATGGAGAGCATCCACGCATACAAATACCTGCCTGTTACCGGGCTCCTGGAACGGGGCTTCAGGGATTCTTACAGACTATACACACCTCATTCATTCTGCTGCTGCCAGGTAACTGCCTTGTATCATGAATAACTTGTCTTCTAAGAGATGAACAGTTAGAAAGGTTGTAAATCAAAGGGTTTACCTCAATATGTTGACAATGACATTTTAATTCTCTCAGTCACAGCATGTGCTTCCATTTGGTTCATAACTATACGGGCTATGCTGATACACACTGACTCGGTATACACGTGAATACACTACGGTCCACAGATGATGGTTCTAGGTTATGACAGGGCTTTACGTGGTTATGATGAAAAGCGAACTGTAGAAAAACAGCAGTCAGGGAGACTGTACAGATAGGAAAGGCTGACCGTCGCTCTGCGCGTGCGCAGTCCCCCCCCCCCCCTCCGCTCCTCAGGACTCTCAGCTGTACAGTAGGGAAGGGAGGACCGGAGGAGCTCACGGGCGGGGGAGAGGGACCTGAGGAGGGGGCGCCTTCTCAGGGGGCCGGGGGTGCGCAGAGCCTGGGCTGGCGCTATGCTCTTGATGGCCTCTGGAGGCTTCCTTGCTCACACCAAGATTACTGAACATGACCTTGTTGGTGCTGCTGGGGGCCTCGCACATGCAAGGACAGCGCTCCGCACTGAGCACAGCTCCGGGCCGTTTCGTTTCGTTTCATTGTTTTGATTTACTATTTTATCTCGGGACAGGGTCTGGCTGAGTTGCCCAGGCTGGTCTTGATGTTGGGATGGTCCTGCCTGAGCCTCTGAGTGGCTGGGACTGCAGGTGTGTGTCTTCACGCCTGGAAAGCTAACGTTTGAAGTGGACATTCACTATAAATGACATTCCAACTCATGAACATGCATCAGTTAGTATAATCTTGTTGGGATTACAGGATCCGGGCTGTGGAGAAACACAGCAATTATATTTACATTCGAACTGCCCTGTCTACCCGCCCTGATCTGTGACTAAAAAGAAAAACGACATTTAACACATGATTAAAAAGTATAAGTCTTGTAACACTGTGGAAGTTTCCTTTCCAAACGAAAAATGAAACAAAGCAGGCAAAAATACAATGGAAAGCAAACCCCGTAGCAACCCCCACTTCCTGCGCATCGAGTCCTCCCGGTCACGATGGAGAGGAGCAACAGGACGAGCGTCCGCTCTGGGCAGGCGGGAAACCAGGGGCAGCACCTGTCAGGGATCTGAAACTCCAGGGAAGCAGTAACTGGATAAGGCCACGTGTTTCCTGTCAAGAGAAATGACAGGCAGAGTTCTGGGAAAGTCACGGGACAGCCTTCCTTGCCTCATCCAGGGTTCTCTGCGTGCTGAGTGCGGTGGATGCTGCCTCGGGCTGTGCTATCTCAAGGCGCCTGAATCCCAGTCTGTGCTCAGTTGCTCAGTGTCCCCAGACCCTCCACTGGGCCCTTGGCTTCCTAACAGCGGGTGCCTCCGCCAGCTCCTCGGGCCTCGGGGCCAGGGTCCTGCTGCAGAGACAGAGAAGGGCCGCCCACTTCCTACATGAAGAAATAATCCTCTTGCTTTACTTCCAGAGGAAGAGTTGAGGGATGAAAGCAGCGCTCCTGGTCACTGTCCTCGTGCTCACGGCTGGCTGCACACCGGTAAGTGACTTTTGTTGTGCTCTCTGCCTCTGAGCTCCCCAGGGATTATTCCAATGGGCAGGCGAGGTGTGACCCACTCAGGGAGAGGTGGCACTCTCGGGCTGGCACAGCTGTGGGCAGCGGCCGGCAGTGGACACAATGACTGCCCCAGGCAGTGGGGTAAGCAAGGCCCTGCTGAGTGGGCACTGTGATGGAGGGTGGCTGGTGCCTTGAGGGGCTCCTGGGGGATTCTTTGTCCTGGTGGAAAAAAAGATGAGTGACTGAGGCTGACTGGTGGAAGACAGTCACCAACCTGAAAACACAGTTTCCTTGAATATCTGTAAGAGCCCAGCCTTGCGCTGGGAGCCAGGATTGCACACTTAACGCAAGACGCATCTGCCTCCAAGGGACTCGGAGGTGAATTCCTTCTTCTTTACCATGATGATCATAACCTTGAATTTCCTATCTCTACCTTCCCTGCTTAATTTTCACAGGCACGAAACTTCCATTCTGAAATGCAGTATGATCCTTTCTCAGTCTGCTGAAGCTGGCAGGTAATTGCTCCATGTCTTTATTTAACCTAAGCTGGGATACTGACTGTCCTTCTGGAAAGATATGATCTAGGAGAAAAAAATGGACATTTTCAGTTACATTTTCCAGGAAACACATGTAGGATTAGAAGATTTTGTCCAAGGTAAAAGTGAAAAACCTCAGACAAGCCTGGCTTGGTGGCAAACATCTGTAATGACAGCGCTGAGCACAGCTGGGGCAGGAGGTCTCAAGTTCCAGCCAGCCTGGGTAGTTTAGCAGCTCAGAGAGACCTTGTCTTAAAACAAGGAAAACAAACAAACAACACGTGGGATGGAGCAGAGTGTGCAAAGGCTCTGGTTCAATTCCGTGTACCACAAAAATACACACGTACATTCATGCACACATACACGAAAGCACAGAAACAAAGCCAAGCCCCAAAGGGCAGGAAGTAGTCTGCAGGGCACACCTGGGGATCTGCTAGCAGCGCCTGCAGCGGGCTGAAACAGCAGGATGAGGCCTCTGCAGACCCGCGAAGGGCTCCAGCACCCAGTCACTGTCCTCATGCTCACAGCTCGCTGCACACCAGGAAGTGACCGGGTCCCACTCCTTCAGGGATCCTCAGCTTCTCTCTCTCTTTTTTTTTTTTTTTTGGTTTTTCTCCGATACTGGGAATCGAAATGATGACCTTGCACTTGCCAGGCAGGCGCTTTTGCCGCTGAGCTAAATCCCCAGCCCGAGCCTCAGCTTCCCAACGCCGAGCTCCCTTAGCTCCTGCCCTTCCACCTATAAGGGGAGGACACCCATCAGGACACTTCACGCACAAGTTTATCCCATGACTGATATAGAAGTGCAGCAATCTCAAGGTTCCTCATGCAAGGACATGATAAATGCTTAAGGGATTGGAAGTGCTGATGACTCTCATTTGCTCATTACACACTGGATGTATGGGGCCGGGGATACAGCTCAGTGGCATAAGCGCCTGCCTGGCAAGTGCAAGGTCCTGAGTTCTATTCCCGCTACAAAAAATACCCCCAAACTATGTATGTACCAAGTCACCATACTCTGCCCCATAAATGTGCACATGTATTTTGTGTGAAAAATAAAATAAGCAGAAGCCAACTGAGTAAGTAGTCAGAAGGCACTGTCTCCATAATTCTTTACTTTTGGGAGAGTCGAGCAAAGCAAGCTCCAGCAATGACCAATCACGCAGCTCAGACCAGGCTTGTGGAATCACGGGTACAATACAAAAAAGTCCTCAAGAAACGGACATGCGAGAAAGTCTTTTAGCGGTCATTAGAGAACTTGATCAGGGCAGAGATGAGGCACCACGGTCCGAGGGCCACGCTGTCATGGGGCCCTGTGCTCCCTCACCCCTCGCAGCCGCCCTGCTCCCCCTCCTCTCTGACTGCTGAGAGAAAATTCGTTCTCATCGCAGGACTCAGAGCAGTTTTTCTAATTTCTTCTAATAAGTTGGATTACTTTCTTCAGAACCTTGCAGAATAGATTGAACCTTAACATTTGCTAATAATCAAAAGTCATGGGGCTGCTTTGTGTCTCTCTTCCCTGCAGGCATACTGGAGGCTGTCTGAGCTCTCCAATACCTGTGTAAATCTTTCTTCTGCTTTTCTCTTGTTCTGAAAGCCTGGAAGAGGAACGAGAGCTGCAAAAGTGAGGGGACATAAGGAATGTGCAGTTGTGTTTCACAGCTTTCAGATGCTGGCCACTTTTATTCTCATTTTATTGTATTGATTATCAATCTTGGAATGTTTTTCGTGGTATTGGGGATTGAACCCAAAGGGTGCTGGTGCTGAGTTCATCTGCAACCCTATATATTTTATTTTATTTTCACTTGTATTTTTATTTTTATTTTGATACAAGATCTCACTAAGTTGCCCAGGCTGGGCTTGAACTTACAAACCTCCTGCTTCCCAAGTACTTGGGACTGCAGTCTGTCAGCACCATGCCCATGTATATGTTCCTTTAAATAAAACTCTGAAGCATTATTAAGGGATGAAATTTCCCACTCAACATTACTAGTTCCTGGGAGAACTAACACTTGAGAATATATCTCAAAGGGTTGCTGTACAATCTGTTGAAAGTGCTGAAGATGATTATTATCCTGTAGTCCTTACAAACTTCAATTTTAGTATTTTTACTCAAAATATCTGGAAAAACATTTTGAAAAAAGGAAATATTCATTGAAATCTACATAACATTGATTTTTACAAAATCAATGACTCTTAAAAATTCTACTTTTCAACAGTTTTACTGTATAGCTGTTTCTATTTGTTTGCTTGAGATTCACTGTGCTGCCTGAATCTGTGGATTAATAACTTTCCCCCTTTGTGGAAAATTATTATCCATGATCTGATTCTCTTAGTTTCTTTTCTTATTGCTGAGACAAAATACTCAACACCCAAAGTTAAAGCAAAAAAGGTTTTTAAGCTCAGTTTGTAGAGGTTTCAGTCCATAATTGGCTGGCTCCAAGGCAGCATGGCACATGGCAGAGGGGCCACAGTCCATGATAGCAGAAGCCTCAAAAGCAGTAAGAGAAGGAAGGGACAAGCCTCTTTCTGTTCCTTATATTATATGCAGGCTACCCACCCTAAGGTGGGTGTAGCACTCATACCCTTCTTCCCAGCAATAGAGGATGAATCCATCACACACTCTATTCAGCCACTTCTGAAAAGCCCACTCCTCATGATTGCATGAGGCTTTGGGGGAACATCTACACAAACCATAACACTCCTCCAATAGCATTTTATAGGTTCCTTTAATTCCAAACACACACTGCATCAACACATTCATTTCTGTGTGTCTCTTATAATTTTCATCCTTCCTTTCAATGTGCTTCAGCCTGAATAATTTCTTCTGACCTATCTCCCAGTTCACTAATTTTATCTTCAGATGAATTTAAAATGATGTGAAACTCATCCACTGAATTCATTTTTTTTACTATGTTTTGCAAATCTAAATTTCCATTTGAATCCACACGTTGCTAATTTTTTAAATTTTTAAAAAATCTTTTGTGCATTTTAGTCAGTTATTTTAAGGTCAGTGTCCAAGATATATTCTTTTTGTTTTGTTTGGTTTGGTTTTTCTTCCGGTACCAGGAATCAAACTCATGACCTTGTGCTTGCCAGGCAGGCACTTTGCTGCTGAGCTAAATCCCCAGCCCCAAGATATATTCTTTTGAGATCTCCTATGGGTCTGCTCTTTTTTTTTTTTTTTTTTTTCCAGTACCGGGAACCGAACTTGCGACCTTGCGCTTGCCAGGCAGGTGCTTTTGCCACTGAGCTAAATCCCCAGCCCCGGGTCTGCTCTTATTATTTACTTTTTTCTCTTGCTTTCATTTCAGTCTTACCAATCCTCTCCCTCCTTTGTATTTTTGGGGGCGTGGTCATTTCTGATTGCATGGGGAATGCTATTTAGGAATGTTGCAGAGGCATCTGGACATCCTGGATGAAGTCGTTTCCAGTAGAGAAGGATTATGTTTGTTCCTCCTTGTGCTGGATGCTCTGGCCACCATGTCCTGTGTCTACCTTCACCGATCAGAGATGGAGAGCATCAGAGTCAGGCCCTCTGGTTTACCCCTTACTCCCAAAGTGAGGCTCTTGGGATCCTCTGCAAAGCCTGGTTGCTAGCCCAGTCCCTTCCCTCTGGGGACTCTGAAATGGGAGCTTTTGTTCCCAGTTCTACGCACCTGCCATAACCTGTACCCCTTTTCCAAAACTCTCTTTGGAATTTGCCATTGCCTTAGGAAAAGAAGGGAGCCAGATGCCTCTTTGGGGTTCTTGCCTCTCCCCAATCTTAGGTTCATAATCCTCACTGTCTGACATCCCCTACCTTCATGATGATGCATGCAAGTATTACCTTTGTTCAGTTCTGGTCTCCCCAGAAAGACTGACTACAAAACAAGATTCAAAAAACAATAATCCATTTCTTTTTCAAGAAATAAAACACTTGAAATTTGTTAGTTACTTATCACACATTTACAAATGTGCATATGTAGAAGTCAGTAATAAGTCAATGCAAATTTAAAAAATGGCATTGATTAAAAGTTCTTGCTGTTTTTGGTTTTTTGCTTTTTCTTGCATGTCAAGTATTTACAAGCACATTGCTGTCTTGATGTTTGTTTCATTAGAGGAAACCACCAATGGTCAGAAGGACTACCACAGCCCCACTGTTTCCACCTACAATGGAAAGTGATCCTCCTCTGACTCCGGGTCCTCTGGTCACTGTCACCCCCACCAGGCAAGGTGATGTCTGAGGAGTGAGGGTCTCCAGGAACCTCACAGCCCACAGCAGCTTCCTCCTCCAGGCTGTGGCTAACATCACAGCTGAAGAGCCATGTTATCATCTCCCTGCTCCTTGTCCCACTGTACACCCTTCCCGATGTAATGCTGCAATAAAAACTTTATGTCATGGTGCTATTCCTTTTCCCATCATTATCACCATTTTTAAAGGGGAATCAGAAAAATGTCGGAGAGACCAGCAAATGGGCTCTTTTCTTTTGGAGTCATCCTATGCCTACCCATGAATCAGGGGTTCCATAACAAAGTAGGAGGGAGGATAATTGGGAAGGCCAAGCCATCATCTCTGCAGAACTTGGGGAGATGGTAGGTGACAGAAGGTTTCTGTTCCCGCCCTATAGCCAAGGCTATAGTGTAAGAACCTGAAAGAGTAAATAAAACCCAAAAGGTACAATAGATATTGTGAAAGGGAAAGAAATTGCTCAAAATGATGGAACAACTGGGATAAGAAAAAGGAGAAAAAGAAAGAAGGGAAAAATTTTTATATATGGTGAGCTTGGATAATTTCACTGCTGATGTCTATTGGTTTATTGAAAGGAACAGTTAATGCTTAATTTTTTTGATCAATTTTGCATGTTTATATCTGGCAATCTGAAAACTAATGTGAAGACAATAATATGCAATATAAGAACCATTGGTGAATTCCGACCATCTAGTTTAGGGAAACTATCATTTTTGATGTTTATTATTATTTTTTTATTCTCTTTAATGGTTTGATCAAACTTTCATTCTTCATCTGGTAATCTTCATTGAATATAATAATACATAATATAAGAACTACTGTTAATTCCTATCATTTTGTTTTGAAATCCTGTATCATTTTCATTGTTTCTATCTATGCTTTTATTTTATATTTTTAAAAATTCTCTTTAAAATAAAAAAAAAAACCTATCTGCTGGCGTTCCTCTACCAACCAGCACTTTGCTCTGTACACAGCAGCCTATTCCATAGTTGTTCTTTGACAGCTTTGAGCCTGAAAAGTCATTCTTTGTATAAAGGTAAAACTTGATCCTAGTCCAACACTTTCAGGCCACATTAAAGAAGTCTAATGTGTCTTCTCAATGCTCTTCTCAATAAAGGTAATTCCCAAGTAAAAGAAGTCTGACACCAACCCTTCTCTCTTTGACATCGTCTGACGTCTCCTAATATCCTAGTGGTCCTCTCCAAACGTTCTCCAGCTTCTCTGTAGTCCCTACCTCCAGTGAAGGTTCTCACACTTATGTGTATTAGGAGAGATGTGATGAGGAAGATAACAGAAACGGCATCTCCAGATCCTGTCTAGTATTGTCCAGGGCCGTTGCCATCCACGTAAGTCCCAACTACGTTCTCTTCAGGTGTTGCTGAGAACATGTCTGATCTCTTCGGTGACTGCACAGTAAGGCCGAAGAATGGACCCTGCATTACTCTCTAACATGGTCTGATCGGCCCCTGTTCAGTGATCTCACACAGACATTTGTGATCTAGACTCCATCAGACAATGGACGTCGGCTCCATAGTTCAGCAGAGTCTCAACAATCTCTGCTCACAGATCACTCATTCAGCGAGTTATGCTCAGGCATCTCCGTGGCCTGGGGAGACAGAAGAACAGGACAAGTGGGCCTCCATGCTTGGGGATTCTCTGAGTTTTGAAACAGTATTTTCTAGCATCTCGTAATGTGCTGCGAACAATAATAAATTATATTTCCACATGCCGCAGAAATCTTAAGGACTTTGAGCTATAGTTTCTCAACAGAAGTAGTGCAGGTAGTAAAATGGGGGCTGGGAAATGTTGGTATTAACTGTGGTGACAGGTCCCAAGAACGAGGTGCCCACGGATGAAAAAAGGAAAGTAGAAGAGACAAGAAAAACAGGAGAGGCAAAAGTCTGGGACTGCCACCGCCCTGATCACTCATCCCAATCCCCTTTTATTCAAACCCAGCACCTCACTCAGACCAACAGGAGAAATTCATTACCCCTTTCCATTTCTGCCTCTCAGCTGATGCTAACAATCCTCGGGCGAGCCTCCCACACCCCACACCACGTGCACTCAGTTCGGCTCGGGACCATAAGCCGACCATCAGTAATCACAGTCCTTTCCCCCCAGGGAAACACTGCCCCCTATCCACCTGAGTTTGGGCAGGACCCCAGGAGCAATCTGCCTTCCTTTGTCTTAAGAGGCAAAAAACAGCAAAGACCCAGGAAATCCCTGAAGTTCCAGTCCAGAGTACATCAGTTAGCTCTCCTGGCCTGACCTTCAGTAACCTTTTCCTCTCTGGAATCTTCTGGAAAGTTCATTAATATGGATGGCATCTCATACATAGAAATAAATAATAATGACCTCTGGGAACATCCTTAGCACCTGTGGTGGATTGATAACTGCTGGTCAACTTGTAACACCCAGCTGAACTGAACCAGCATGGTGCTGGGTGTGGGTGGCCCACCTGGGAATTGCTGCCAGCACCATAAGAGGCAGAATTGGAGAAAAAGCTGTTAGAAGCTGTTAGGGAAGCTGTAGACAGCTGTTAGTTTTCCTGGAGGAATTTGTCGTGATGGCGTTCCTGATAAACTTGGGTGTTCTCACTGAAGGAGCTCAGGCCCTTGTTGTCCCTGAGAATTACTATGGTGTACTTTGGGAGGTAAACTACACTTTACTTTGAGCATCACTTCCTGGCTCTGGAGGGCAAGACGGTGCACTGCTCAGCCTCCTGGAGAAGCTTGTTGTGCTGGCTTTCCTAATAGGAGCTCCACTCTTCTCATCATTGAAGGAGACTGGGACCTCCTTGGGACTTTTGCTGAGGATGGTGTGGTACTTCTGCCACTGACCTTTGGCCCATCCTTGTGCAAATCAGTGAAACAGTTCTGCATGAGACGTTGTCCTTGGCTCTGGGCCTCCAGTTGGCTCATGGGATGCATTGTTACGGGTTCTAGGTCTTTAGCTGGACTCTTGCAGGACATTAGCGTGGGATTCAGGCCCTCGGCTGGATTCTTTGGTCTTTAGTGTGTGGACAGATTACCTGTACTCCTTTTGTACATGACTCTTTGGGTGACTATTATAAAATAATCTTATAACTAAGTGTCCTGTATTGCTTCCCCTTGCCGAACTCCAAACTCCAACAGCACCAGACAGCCCTGAGAAGACTCAGCACCCTGTCAATCATCCTGTCAGTCTTACCTTGAGACCCAGTAAGTGGCACCCAGCCTGGGTGCAGTTCCTTTCAGAATCTGAAAGCTTGGTTCATCTGTGGACTGTGCTGTACTTTTTCTTTCACTGTTGCCCTGACACCCCTTCTCTGTTCCTGCCAGCTTCTTGTTTCTGCGGGCACTGACCTTCCCTGAGCACATCTTCTGTGATCCTCAACCCATGGAGCCGCTTTTCATGCACCACCGGGTGTGCGCTTTGCAATTTTCTGCTCCTTGGACAGGAGAGCCTGGAATCTCCCTGCTGGGCCTAACACGCAGTAACAGAAGCACTGCGAGGACATAGTACTTAGCAAAACACATGTTCAGAATGTGAAGGCATTCAATGCCCTAGGAGAAAGGCAGGAACTAAAGGAATAAGAGGGTAGGCTTGAAAAGTTCCCTGGGAGGGGGCAAAGGACCATGGACCCATAAGGCCCTTTGCAGCCACCTTCCACCCAGCGTATAAACAGGAAGTGGAGGAGGTGCTCAGGGGGGACAAGCAGTGGTGCCAGCCTGAGGGATCAGGTCACTCCCTTCCGTGCTCACACAGCACTGGCTTGGCGTCCTCTCTTGTGTCTCCCCACCAGTCTCTGCTCTCTGGTGTTTTGTCTGGGCTCCCCCTGTTCCTGCAGAAGTCTCGCGAGAACTAGGGCGAGTGCTCTTGACGAAGTCTCGCGAGAACTAAGGTCCTCCTGACTGGAGTCCTCCAGAGGAAGACCACGGAGGTGGTGCTGGGAGCGGACGCTGAGGTGAGGCCAAAGCGCCCTGGCTCCTCGGTTCCTCTGCGGCCGCGCTCCCACCAGCCCTGCGGGCGCAGGGGCTCTTCACTGGTCCCCTGCTGTGGGACCTGCTGTGCCCAGGATGCCAGAGGACTGGACGCAGGAGGGGGCCGGGAGCTGGCGTGGCCGCGTGCCCTCGACCTCCCTGCGAGGTCGCTGTGGTGGTCAGCTGGGTCCGTCGACGTCCAGGACCAGGGAAATGGCGTTCACCCTGGGTCTCCTCCACCACAGAGTATGCCTTTTCAGTCACGTGCTGGGTGGAGCTTGGCAGAGTCACGTGGTCCTTAAGTGCGCATGCACTTTTATTTTTTAGCTGATTGGTTAGAACATCAGCGCTTCAATGTGCACCTTGAGCGCGCAGATATTTCTGAATTTCCATGTAGTCCTCGTGTAGTAGCTTCAGGAAATTGCAAGGATGAAAGGCAGAGATGAGTGCGGAAATAGAGAAAAGAACCAAGGCCTGCATAGTGGTGCTATGTGGTCTTTAAGAGCGACGTCTGCCCGCTCCTACCTCTGCGTTCTTTTGGCAGTGGTAGCTTGGGCCAGAGCTCTGCGTTCCCGCCAGTGTGGAACATTTGCTCCCGGTGTCGGTAATAAGAGTTGTGGGCACTTTCAGGTGAGAAGGAGAGTGTGTGAGGGGGCCAACAGAAGCCAGGGCTTTTGAGGAGTCCTGCTGGGCATCTAGTGTGAAGAATTTGACCTGAATAAGTCAGGGGATTCAATTCAAAACTAGTGGTGAGCAGTGCTGCTCCTGAAAGCACACCCTACTTAAACAAGGCAAACAAGTGCGTCTAATGCTTATAACTATTGATCATAATTAACACCTGGGTAGCACTTTTTATGTGTAAAAATTATCCTAAGCACTTTGCTTATGAGCTTATCAAAAATCACTGAGTATTTTCCCCAATATCCGAGTTGTAATGCACAGAACTCAAAATTTGTCATTTGAAGTAATGAATGCAGTGTGTTCTAATATATTCAGTAGGGTTCATCACCATCTGCTTGTTCAGTATTTTCCACACCAAATGAAAACCTTTCATGTCTTTTTTCCTTTCTCCGAGTTTCTGGAAAACCCTCTGCTTTGTCTTTAAGAATTTGGTTATGTGTATTTCATTTTGGTGGAATCATATGATGTATAGGTTTTTAAAATCTATTTTATTTGGCTTAACATTCTT